AGGTGCAGGCCATGATCCAGGAGTTCTTCAACGGCAAGGAGCCCAACAAGTCTATCAATCCGGATGAGGCCGTGGCCTTTGGCGCCGCGGTGCAGGCCGCGATCCTCACCGGCGAGGGGTCCTCGCAAGTGCAGGATCTGCTGTTGCTCGACGTGACGCCCTTGTCGATGGGCCTGGAGACCGCGGGCGGCGTGATGACCAAGCTGATCGAGCGAAACACCACGATTCCTACCAAGAAGGGGCAAACTTTCACCACCTATGCCGATAACCAGCCGGGAGTACTCATCCAGGTGTTCGAGGGCGAGCGCGCCATGACCAAGGACAACAACTTGTTGGGGAAGTTCCACCTCGACGGCATCCCGCCTGCCCCGCGCGGCGTGCCGCAGATCGAGGTGACGTTCGACATCGACGCGAACGGCATCCTCAACGTGTCCGCACAGGACAAGTCCACTGGTAAGTCCAACCAGATCACCATCACCAACGAGAAGGGGCGGCTGTCCCAGGCGGAGATCGACCGGATGGTGCAGGAGGCGGAGAAGTATCGCGCCGAGGACGAGACCAACAAAGCAAAGATCGAGGCGAAGAACGGCCTCGAGAACTATTGCTTCACCATGCGGAACACCCTGCAGGAGGAGAAGCTCAAAGACAAGTTCGAGGGTGGAGACAAGGAGAAGATCGAGAAGGCGGTGCAGGATGCCCTTGACTGGCTGGACAAGAACCAGCTGGCCGAGAAGGATGAGTTTGAGGCCAAGCAGAAGGAGCTGGAGGGCATCGTCAACCCTATCATGATGAAGGTGTACCAGGCCGCCGGCGGTGGTGGCATGCCGGAGGGCGGCATGCCGGGCGGCGGGGCTGCCCCCGGCGGCGGCGCGGGGCCCACTGTGGAGGAGGTAGACTAAGCCCGAGGCGATGACCGCCGCCTTAGCCTTTGATTCGGAATGCCCACACGGGCATCCGAGCGGCCTAGCTTAGTTAGGGTGCGCTGTGCACCTTTCTGGCCCTGCCCGGCGCGCTCGGCTGATGAGACAAGCAGCTTGTATCCCGCCTTGGCCACAGATGCTGGCCGGTCCCCAGCTGCCAGTCGGCCTCCCGACTGGTCAGCGGGGTTCTGCGCGTGCGCGCGGGGCCGCGGGCCACAGACTCATAGACTTCGCTGCAGCACTAAGTGCTGCCAAGGCGAGCAACAAAGAAAAAAAAACAGGCCCCTACATTGGTTTATATCCACTGAGGAGGCTGCTTGTTGGGAGACAACCGTTTGAAGACCCTGAAGCGTGCCACAACATTATTCTCGGGACTCCAACGCCACGAATCAACATGACTCTTGCCCAGAATCGCGCCAGAACGCCATTCCTGGGATTACTGCACCGCGAATCAACGTAACTGTTGCGTCCTCACACCTGAGTCCTTCCAAAACACCGTTCCTGGCACGCTGACCATGGGAGTCCGCGAAACTATTGCAAGAGCCACAAAGGACTCGCCCTCAACCTGTGAAAGTCTTGTCATTTTTCAAAACGAACGCGCGCGGCGCTAAGGTGAGGGCCGCATGTTGAAAACCACCTCCTCAATTCGTGAAGCTCTTGACCCCTTAAGAACGCATGTGCGCGACGCTAAGGTGAGAGCCACATTTTGAAATTCACCCGCCCTCCATCCGTGAGGCGAGAGCCACATGCTGAAAACGACCCGCCCTCAATCCGCGAAATTCTTGCAACTGCTTAAATCGAATGTGCGCGGCGCTGAGGCGCGAAACACACGTTGAAAACGGCCCGCCCTCAATCCGTGAAATTGCTTCCAAGTTGCAAGCTTCAGGCTCATGAAAGGTGAGGACGTCTCCGGCGAGACGCCCGGCCTTCCCTTTCGACCAGCCTCGGGGTGCGACAGGACGGAGTTCTTTATAAGGCAAAGAATGGAGGAGGAGGAAGAGGAGGAGGAGGAGCAGAAGGAGGAGGAGAGTACCATTGGACACTGCCCGCAGCCCAGTTTCCAGGCTGGAGCAGTGGGATTGCCTCCAGACCCAGGCGACGCAGAAGACATCGCGACACCAGTTTTCGTGTACGGTTTCGGCTTCTGGAGGTCCGTTTCCCAGCCCCAGGACCAGCAAGCAACGACTCGGGATCACAAGCCAGGTCGGAATACCCGTAGGCTCGGCCCGCATCACGACAAAGAGCAATGCGACGGCCAGGGAGAGGGAATCGAGGCGGAGAGTGGCGGATACGACAAGGTGGGCAGGGCAGGAGGAGCGAGGACGGATGACGGAACAGGGGCGAGAAACAACATGGGAGGGCGCCAGGAGGAGGAGGAGGAGGAGGAGGAGGAGGAGGAGGTGGAGGAGAACGGAGGTAGAACATGGGGACCAGGAGGGGGACGGTGTTGCATTCAGGCTCTGTGTCCAGGGGGCTTCCAGGAACCCCCCCGTGCCCCCCACCCGAACCACCTCGAGCCCTCCCCCGTCCTCCGTTCTCCCCCACTCCCCATCCCGTCGGGGGTCGTCGGCTGACCACCTCGCCGTTCCTGGCTGGGCCCACGCTGGGACCACGAGGGGCACGGCCGGGAGTAAGTCGGGCCTGTCCTTCTAACAGGAGGAATAATATATATATATATAGAGAGAGAGAGAGAGAGAGAGAGAGAGAGAGAGAGAGTCAAAAAATAGTTTGGGGACGATTTTTGGTATTCTTTTTGGCGATTTTGGGTGTATTTTTGGAGCACTTTTAAGTTTCATCCAACATCCCCCTGTAGGGGGATAGGATGGGGGCCCGACTTAGGGCCAGGATGCGCGAGCTGGCCAGTTGATGTCCCACGGTCCCTCCTGTCCTCCCTCCCCCATGCTCTCCTCTCTCCCCTGGTGGCGTCCAGGAAATGGTCGGCCCCCTGGTGGCGTCCAGAAAATAACCGGCCCCCTCCGCGTACTGTATGCTTGCACACAGGATTCCAGGGGACTTGGGTTTTCGCTGGGTTTTTTCAAAAACCCGCTCTCGCTGAGGCGCTGGCTTCATTTTCGGGCCACCGCTCGTTCCGAATCGTGCTCCCGCTGCAGCGCTGGCCTCATTTCCGCGCTTCCGCCCGTTCCGAATCGTGCTCCCGCTGCAGCGTTGGCGTCATTATTTCAGTGCCATGCCACGGCATGGTTTCGGTCCTTCCAAATAGGCCCCAACATCTAGAAAATGGCCTCCCGACGGCATGCTATGTTATGCTACGTGTTGGTCTTCAATACCATGCTATGCCATGTAATGCTATGCCATGCTACGAATTCCGATTGTGCGAATAGAGAGGAGATCTACGCCTTGGTAAGGGATGGTAGGGAGTGGTATAACGTCAGGTATGACTCGAGCGCACCTAGCTTGCCTCCTGTCCCTCCCTCTCCTCCCTCTCTCCCTTCCCTCCCTCTCTCCCTTCCCTCCGCCACCCGCTCCCTCCACGATTACACCATTTGCATGCGACTCTACCATCTCCCCCGAAGGCCCTTCCCTCGGCGTTTGTTTTCACACACGCACATATGTTTTGCGCGACCGAGCTTTTCCTCCGTATTGTCTCAATTCGATCCATCTGCGTTTTGTTTTTACAAAGGATTTGCGCGAATTGGTTTGCCACAAAGTGTTCTACCACTCGATTGTACACAGTTGTTTGAAACAAGCTGGTCTCGTTGCAACACCTCATTTTCTAATTTTCGGATCGGCGCTCTGCTCCCGTTGTTCAGAATGGCGCCCCTGCCCCAGCGTGGGCCACTTCTGGATCCCACAGGTCTCGCAGGTCTCGCATGCACCACGGGTCCCACAGGACACACAAGAGCCGCAGGTCCCACAGGTCCGGCCTTTCTGACAGCTCCCACAAGTCCCTCCAGTGTCGCAGGTCCCGCAAGCCCCACAGGTCCACCAGGTCCGACGAATCCCGCAGGTCCAACAGGTCCCGCATTTCCCACTGGTGCCACGGGCTCCGCAGGTCTCGCAGGTACCAACAGGTCCCACAGGTCCCGCAGGTTCCATGGGTCCCACCGGGGTCGCAGGTCTCACAGGCCTCCAAGACCACAGAGGTCCTCCAAGTCGCACAGGCCCCTCAAGTTGCTCGTTTCCGATTGCGCATGACACGATAAGGGGTCTGCTGTGGAGTTCCAGGTCGGCTGTGGCACGCGTCCGCGGATACAGAAGCAACAGCGCAACGGGAAGGGACGCGAGGGAGGGAGGGGATGCCTGATCCGGCGGGGGCAAACCTGGCCTGCCTCCCTCCCCCCATCCTGCCGCCCTCCCCTCCCCGCCCTTGCCCGCTGCCCCGCCCTCCCTCCGCGGCAGGCAAGGGGAGCCAGGCGGCCCCCAACATGAAGGTGGCGGTGCGGCAGGGGAAGAAGAAGACCGAGGACCGCCCGCGGAGGGCCGCGCATGGCCCACGGACGGCCCTCGGTGCGGCTCGCTGTCCACTTCGCCTCGAGGCGTCCGCGTCTCGAGCTGTTCGGAGTCTCCCGCCCTGCGGAGCGGAGCGGCAAGCTGCCCCGCTCGCAAGGAATGGGCGTGTCGCCAGGGCCACCGCGGCGATGCGCTAATCAGAGGTTCCCCACCGCACCCGAACCCTTCTCGGGTGTCCCTGTCCATCTGTCCTGTCCATCCCCCCTCCGCAGTTCCCCTCTGCCGCCCGCTCTCCCTTCTCTTTCCCTCCTCCGCCTTCTCCCTCCTCGGTCTGCCTCTCCCCCGTCGATCTCCCTCTCGAGGAGGGTCAGACTGTGCGAGCTCAGAACTCAGGCCCTGCTTTGGGTCCAGACGTCGCTATAGCTCACCCCGCTCGAGGGCTCGCCAGTCGGAGCGCTCCTCAGGGAGCCCTCGGCCCCGAAGGTGCCGAAGAGAGCCTGGCGTGGGCCCTCCTGCCGAGCAGGCGAGGCCCTCGGCCTGGAGCAGGGCTGCTGCCCTCCCCCCTTGCCCGTGCCCTGGGGCAGGAGCGGCACGCCTGGCGCGGAGCTTCGGGAGTGAGCCGGCCGCGCTTCTGCCTTCTCCCGCGCCGTCCTCCTCCTCCTCCTCCTC